CTCCCGCGCAGGCCGGGAGCTCGCGCGCACGCCGCCGGGTGATCGCCTGTATTACGTTTATTGACTTATGCATGTTGAACCATCCTTGCATCTCTGAAATAAATCCGACTTGGTCAGGATGGATGATCTTCTTAATAATCCTCTGTATTCTCTTTGCTAGTATCTTATTAAGGCTTTTTGCATCTATATTCATTAAGGAGATTGGCCTGTAGTTCTCTTTTTTAGTTGTGTGTTTCCCTGGTTTGGGAATGAAAGTGATACTGCTTCCAGGAATGAATTTGGAAGTATTGCTTCCCTTTCAATTTCATTGAAAAGTTTAGAGAGTAGTGGCAGTAGTTCTTCTCCAAATGTCTTATAAAATTCAGCAGTGAGTCCATCAGGACCTAGGCTTTTCTTTGTTGGTACACTTTTAATTACATTTTAAGAATGTTTTAAATGGACAGATTTTTTTATGTGTTTTCCCAGTATCCCAGCTCTCTTAAACCAAAGCAGTTTATTATCCTGTAGTTTTAGAATGCTCGCTGCATAGTTACTGACTCATTCCCTTAGTCTCTCATTCATTCATTCAGTATCCACAGGGAGCGGCTTTGTCTTGACCCCTGTGGTATAAAGCCAATCAGGATGTGGTCTCCGTGCCAGGGAATGCAGAGATGTGATCAAAGCACACACATGTGCTTTGGGAATGTCTGACCAGATGAGGCAGTCAGGGAGGCCTCCAGCTGGGTCAGCTTTACACTGAACATTGCAGGACATAGATAATCACACTATGAAGGATAGAAAGGAAGGTGAGACTGAGACAACAGCATTTGCAGAAGTCCACAGATAAGAGCCAGTACAATGCCTTTTATACACATTGAGGGATAATGTGCAAGTCACACTGATAAAAGAACAGGATAGAAATCCATTACCATTTGTACTAAGCAATTTACCCTGTACATCCCTGAGAAGCCATAAAATTATTTCTTTTATTAATTATTATCCTTATTTTTTCCTCTTTAGAATATCGAACAGATAGAACAACTTTTCATGAAAATAGACTATGAAGCAGTGGGTAAAATTCAATGGGTAAGTTGAATTATATCTTGTGAATCCAATTTGCAGTTACTAAGAAATGTGCATAACATATTGAGTTTCATGTCTGGCCCTTTGGAGTACTCTTTGCCCCTTGGTACTTCTGTCAACCTGAAGCTGAACCAAGAGAACATGACTGTTCACAATTTTCAAATTTGTGTAATGGCAGGCTATAGTTGGAGTAGTTTAATTAGGGAGTTCAGTAACTAAGGCAAGTTCCGTGAAAGGAATTTGAAAACCAAAGATGGAGGGCCACATCCACCACTTTTCTGAAAAACCAGGAAAACAGTGTAGGTAATGATACATGGTGATAATGAAACAGTGAACACATATAAAATGTTTAGAACTAAGGCTGTCACACAATAAATTCTCAGCAAGTATTATCATCATCCCTGTTAATGTTATCCGGTTTTGGTTGTGTAATACCAAAGAGCTGAGATACCTGTTTTCTGGCCATCATATCTGTCAGTGTCCTTCCATTGTTCTGGGATAAATTAAGTTCAAAAATGACAAATTGAGAAATAGGTCACCTGTATTCAGACTTTTGGCCAATTCTCCAACCAAATAAAATGCCACTGCCCTCACTGCCATAGGATTTGAAAAGGAATATTCAGGATTCCAAGGCAAAGAAGAAGAAAGTGCTTCTTACATCACCGCTAAGATTCAAAACAAGGCATATGTCCTGCTATGTAGGAACTTCAGAATGAATTCAATGATATCACAAGTCTCTGGATGGCCATTGGTTGGTTGTTAGATCTTAGGCAGCCCATTTAACTTCTTTTGAAGCTTGAGTTTCCCAGTTTGTAAAATGGGTGAGCAATGGACCATAACCTCCTTAGGAATGATGAGAAATGAGATGAAGACCCATACTACGTGAAACATGGTGCACTCTAACAGTGATCATCATTGCCGCCATTGTTGTTGTTCTCATTGCCATCATCATCATCATCATCATCATCATCATCATCATCATCATCATCACCTTTAAAGGAAAAGGGAAAGCAAAAGTAAGATGGCAGCTGGGAAACAGACTGCAGGACCCGCTGAGCAGGCTTGCCACAGTTATTACCCACAATTCTGGCAACAAAGTTCATGTACTAACATTTGTTACATCCGAGAAAGGGGATCTGTTCTCTAATGAGAAAGGGAAATTTTGAAAACCAGAAAGACAGTGGATATTTAATGAATTGACCTTTATTCTCCAGGATGGCTTATGCACGTATCTGCAGCTGGAGTATTTGAAGCAAGCCAAGGCTTTGGCCCGACAGAAAGAGGTGTCCTTCCTGTCGCCTGCTGTGCTGCGGAGGCTGTCACGTGGGGGTCCCGTGCTACGCATTCTTTCCGTGCCTGATGACACCTTAATCATGATCAGAGAAGATGGAGCTATTTATTTCTGGTCCCTGCAGCTGAAGCTGAAAAGGAAAAAGTGGATTTTTGTATGTGATTTTCATTTGATAAGGATGCTGAGTGCTACAGTTTGATTTTATTTGCTATTTTAAACTACTCCTTAAGTGGCATGATTACATAAATTGTGCCCTTGAATATAATATATTCATATTGCATTTTGTTAGGCTATGGAATGCAAATAAAATACGAGCACTACATGTAGTACAAGATAATGCTTCATTTTTGCTTCTAACATCAGATGAAGTGATGAATTGCCTGTGATTCTGTTATGTAATTTATCATATGTCTTAATGAATGACAAATGGAACAGAATTTTTCTTTTTCTCCCTCACTCGTGGTTGTATCAGTTAGGCAGATATGTTAGGATTTCTCTTCGAAGAACCTAATGAATCACAGTCAGAAAGTCAGAAAGCAAAATGAATTTGGGTAGTACATTTAAGAGTTACAATGTCCAACCCACTTCAGGATATATATTTTCCCTTCCCTTCCCTTCCCTTCGCTCTTCATCCTCCCCCTTCTTCTCCCCCTCTTTCTCCCCTTTTCCCTCCTCTTCTCCTTCTTCCTCCTTCTCCTCTCCTTCTCCATCCTCCCTCCTCCTCCACTCCCTTTCAGCAGTACCGGGGATTTACCCAGAGACCACCCACCTACATGCTCAGTTCTTTTTATTTTTTAATTTTCAAATAGTATCTTGCTAAATGTCCCAGATTGGCCTAAAATTTGCAATCTGCCTACCCCAACTTCCAGAGTAGCTGGGATTATAGGGTGCACAACCATGCTTAGCTCTTTTATTATTTCATTCAGCAAGTAGTTGAGTTCCTTCATGATCCAAAGCCTGTGCTGGATACTGGGGATACAGAACCCAGGCTCTATTCTCAGGAAACACAGTCTACATGACAAGTTACCCCTAAACCTCTCAGGCTACAGAGTAAGCCCTAACTGTGAAAGGAAGAAAGTTGGCTCTTCCAGCCTATGGAACAAGCTCTTCCTCCTGGAAAGAGAAAATCAAAGAAAACTGTATAATGCTAATATGCGTGCTATGGCTAAGAATGGCTCGAATCTGAAACTGTCCTCTCATTTAAAGGATATGTGTTTGCTGGTTCCCCCCTTCAACTCTCTAGGGCAAGTCCATCAGCCAGAAGCCCCGGTGGGTGACAGATGTTGTCAGCATGCCACAGTACAACAAACTGATCATTGGGACTGGGTGAGTGCCTGAAGTTCATCAATGGGAAGTAAGCAGTCAGTGTTATGAGACCTGCTTTCATGCCTGAGTTTATTCAAACATTCATGTTTGTGGTATGATGATAAAGCCTTGGACTCTTCGAAACAGAACACTGGAGATCATTGGTTAGGCCAATTCACTACCCCAAGTTACTGCTTTGCTTGGCCTAAGGCAGTTAGGTGTTATTGCTTCAAACACAGATGGGAACCCTGCTTTGACAAGTACTTCAAGAGCAAAGGAATGGGCTAGATGAGAAAAACGGAAGTCTCAATTCTTTTTTTAGCACCGCTTATTTTAGCTTAAAAACATTATTTAAGTAGTAATATTTTATTATCTCGAATGCTCAAGACTGATTCAAAAACTAAGTAATAAATAATTTTTAAAAGTCGATCCAGAGTATAAAGATTGAACAGTACTCAGTGCCCACGTGCCTCAGAAGAGCAGGTCTCATACTGGGAAGGGAGATCCTAAAAATGTTGATATTTCCTGGGCCCTGCCTGATGGACCTCAGTGTAGGCCATGACACAGGAATAAGGCTTGGGGGGAAAGAAGTTTAAGAAAATTTCAAAGGTGAAGCAAAAAAAAAAAAAGATCAACACCGCAGAAATGTGAACTGTGGTCCAGGTACACTGAAGCTGAGGAAGTGTTTACCTCAGGGCTCTTGGGGGGTGGCCACAGAAAGGGGCAGGACAGCCCGTGCCCAAGGTTTGCCTCTTTTCACCTCTTCCCAGAAATCCCTTGCTTTCTAGGCCTTAACTGCTTTAACCAACAGATACTCAATCTATCTTCAAACCAAAAAGGGAAAAAAAAAAAAAAAAGATCAACACCGCAGAAATGTGAACTGTGGTCCAGGTACACTGAAGCTGAGGAAGTGTTTACCTCAGGGCTCTTGGGGGGTGGCCACAGAAAGGGGCAGGACAGCCCGTGCCCAAGGTTTGCCTCTTTTCACCTCTTCCCAGAAATCCCTTGCTTTCTAGGCCTTAACTGCTTTAACCAACAGATACTCAATCTATCTTCAAACCATCCAGATCATCTTATTAAATATAATTTATTTCATATTCAGTTTAATAATCTTTCTATATAAATACATTGTTTAATCAATATGCACTCAATATTTTAACATCACTAAAAAGCAACACATTTGGATTTATAAATTTGGCCCAATTTGATTTATTTTTATTATTTCAACTTTACATCAAGACATATTTGAACATCTTTATGGGATACATTATGATAATTTAATACTCATTTACAATATGTAGTGATCAAATCAGTTATCACTTACCTTGAGTAATCATTAAACTTTAATCATTTTTACATGTGGGAATTTTGTACTTCTCTAATCATTTTGAAATATATCATAGATTGCTTTAACCAATAGTTATGCTGCTGTTCTATAGGAAAGCAGCCCAGATTTCTCCTGTCTGCGTGTGTTTTGGCGCCTCTCACTAACACTGCCCCCGCCCCCCACCCCAGTCACAGCTCCAGGCTGTTCTATGAGAACTTTTTTGAGCCTCCATAAATTCGTGAGAACATGTATGTAGTTCCTGTTTCTGTGTGTTTGGATTTTTTCACTTAACGTAATGACTTTCCCAACTTGAATTTTGAAAATAGGCTAAGTAGCCCTACCATGTGTGTCAGATGCACAGAAGTTCCGAGACTGATACAACAGCTTGTGGAGTCTCTGAGCTGGCAGATGGGAAGACGAGGTGCAGCACACACTACTGAGAGGCAGGGAACAACTGAGCTGCACAACAGGTGGAAAAGAAGCTGGAAAAAAAAAAGACATTTAACATGAAGGAGAAAAGGCAGTGGTTGCGGTATTTAGAGAAACCTTGGTAAATTCAGTATGAGCAAATGGAAGCACTGTGTTGCTTTTTTCCCACCCAGGGAATTGTTCCTCTCTCAACTGGCTCAAGGTAGACCTCCTAAGGTGGGAAAGGAGGGGTCAGGGGTATAGGTCATGAAGGGAACAAATGACGAACCCTTTATTGTAGAGGAAGAGGCCGTCACTCCGCAGCTTGGTAGGTCTGGTCATCTCTACATTATCAGCATCAAACATTCGCTCACAGTTTTGAGAACTTGGCAAGTCCTGGGGCATGGGATGAATCACTTCCTTATACCTCATCTCAATGAATCTTCAGAACCCTTCTTCAAAATGGGAACTGTTTTGATTCCATTTTCAGATGAGGGAATTAATTGGTAAACTGGGAACTTAATCCCCCACTTCTGGGATCCAGAGCCCAGGGGCTTGAAACCTGTGCCCGTTCTCGTGGAGAGGGAACAGCTCCGGGGCCAGGATTAGCACCTGGGGCCGGGATTAGCACCAGGCTGAGGAGAAGCCCCAGATGTCAGGAGCTCAGAGAGAAGTCTGAAGCTCAGCTGGAGGATGTGTCCTGAAGGGCAGGCTTTTCACTGCTCAGGGGCTGCCGCTTTGTAGGATCTGTGAAATATAAAACAGCTCTACGGAGATGAAGTGGGAAATTAAGTTTACTCCCAGTGTGCTTGCTTTTTGGACAGAAGCCGTGAACTGCAGCTGTATGAGCTTTCTAACTTGGAGCCTTACTGTCAGATTGGCAGCCTGGAAGCTGTTCCTCTGAAACTGGACTACTGGTAAGAAGGGCAGCCCGGGGCAGCTCTCACCTGACATGGCGCCCTCCTCTTGGCAACTCTAAATGTTATGGCCCCAACAGCACATGTCATGACTGTGTCACATGGCACAGATCTGCCCAGCAACGAAGGACCCTCCTACATCTAAAAGGGAGAGGGAAGCCAGAGGTTAAAAGTATTTTTAAAGTTGTGAGATCATCAGTCTGTATCTTAAATGTGGCTGAATTAATTTTCCTGGAACAATTCTGATAGCATTATTTCTTAATGTTTGCCAACTCCCTGTCCAATTATAGCTTTTGGACTGTGTACTTAGTCCATTTTCTGTAATTTAATTCTGGCTCACAGTTCTTAGGACTATAAAGTCCGAAACCATAGTGCTCCTCTTTAGCTTCTGGTGAGAGTCTTGTGCTTCGTCAACTCATGAAAGGGAGGAGAAGGGAAGAGCTCATATGCAGAAGAGGTAAAACACCAGTAGTGAACTTGTTTTATAACACTTGGCTCTTGGGACAGCTGCACCAGTATCCTGGAAGAAAGGCTTTCATCTCCATGACCCAAACACCCCTTGCTAGTCCCCACCTCCCAGTGCTGCTGTGCTGGAGACTAAGTGCCAATATGAGTTGTGAGGGGGACAAACCATATTGAGACCAAAGCAAAGGACATCCGAGTCCTCTCCACCTTCCCAGACTCAACCTCACTGCATCTTCAAGCCACAGAAACATCAGCCTAAGGCAGAGATTCTTTAGCATGTCTCAGGCCCTATTCCTGGTGCTTCCTTCCTCTCCCCATCCTTCTCTTGATGTTTACTGAGCCCCAACTATGGGCCCACATTGCAGATTTGGGGATAAACATATGCATAGGCCCTGGCCCCCAAGAGATCTCACAGTCTTACAGAGTGGGTGGCTCTTGCTGGAATTCTGTCATTCTTTATGGCTCAAATGTTACTCCCTGAAGATTCCCCTGAATCTTCTTCTTACCCAGAAGCAAGCATCCCTCCCACCCCAGGAGTTTCCCTAGCATTTAGCTTTGTTTGTCCTATACACTGGCCACAGGTGTGCAAGCCCTGAGTAACTCAGGTAGCACCAACACCTCAGGCTTTGCTATCTATTCTCCGGTACCTACATACTGAGTGGAACATAGTAGGTGCTCAAGAATATTTGTGGAATTACTAAAAGAAATGCCCAGTTTCATTTTGCATTTACCCTTTTTCCATACTCCTTTATCTTCTCATTATAACATAGAAGTCTCTGTAGCCACCCTAAATTTTGAGTACAATATCTTCATTCATCCTTCTTCTAGCAATCATTTAGTATACTGAAAAATAGAAAAAAAAAGTCAATAGGTTAGAAGAAAGGGATTGAAAAGCAAAGTTTTCAGGTTCTCATAGATCAAAAGCATGGGAGAGATGCTGGTCCCGCTACTCCGCCCTCTGTACTCTTTTCCAGGCAGAGGGCTCCCCCTCTTGCTTGCACAGGAGCTGCCTGAAGGGGCCTGCCTTCCCCACCCATAGGCAGCTATTCCCCTCCACCTGAGCTCCAATCCTCCACCAGGGCCAGAGGGGTGTTCCAGTCCTTCTCAACGCTAATGGCGCCTACCCTCGCAGCCTGTGCAGCTGGCAAGTTGAGTCGGAGGGAAATTGCCTTTTGCTGAACCTGCCTTGCAGGTTTTTCCTGAAATCGAAGTATGTTATCAATGCTTTCAGGACAGCCCTGTGGAGAGAAGAAAGAAATCCTATCTGGGATAATTCAGTAGCACGGAATTCAGCTCCACTGTGCTGGGCAGGCTGCCCCTGCCTGCCTGTGTGCAACAGGTCAGACCCATCCCAGGGTAACCAAGCTCCTCCTGCAGCCCAGGGTACTGGAGAAGGCGGGGTGGAGGAGTAGACAATGGAGGCCTGGAGCCTGAGGGGTGGGTCTTATATTTCAGCCACCCTTTCATCCCTGGGGACCAGGGCAAGAGGCCTCTGGGGACCATGTCTTTATTCTCAACCTCAGGAGTTTCATCTGCAAAACGGAAAGAATAAGACTTGCCTCACTGGGCTGCAGCAAAGATGAAACTCCTGTTGTAGATAAAGCTCCTAAATATAGCACTCAGCTACAGGCACTCCCCACACAAAACTCCCTCTCTTTCTAGTCCACATACGCTGTAAGGGCAGGAACCTCCCTCACTTTACCTGTCCTCAGAGCTACTCGGAGTCCTCCTTGTCCAGTCTTTCTCTGACTTGTTTATCTCCTCAAAACCACGCAGTTCTTTACTGTCTTGGGGCCTTTGCCCACTGCCTGAAACACCTCATTAGCCCTTCTGGTCAGACCTCCAGGTAAATTCCTCTGATGGTCCTTTCTTAACCTCTTTAAGAAATCTACATCCTCACTGACCTCCTTCCTTCCCTGTATTCTAAGTAGCACAGCCTATGCAAACAGATGGTGGATTCTGTGACTATTGGCTGTCTTGTCCACTGGCCAGGAGGGCAGGAATGGCTTCTGCTTTATTCTGCAGTCTAAGTCTAACCAGTACATGGCACATAACAATTTAGGTTTTTGTTTTTAAGTAAATAGACAATAAAGGCTTAGATTCTGAGATCAAATCCTGTTTGGAGTTGTCTGAACTCTTTCTCCAGCTTGCTTGTCAGTAAAACTGGTGTAATACAAATAATATTACTGGGGTGTTGGGTGTATTAACTGAGATAATACTTGTCTGTTAGTTGAGTGGCACTCAGAAAAGAGATTTATGAAAGCTGATTTCCATTCTGATCATGATTACATGAGCTCTGAAAAGAAAAGCAGGCCAGAGAGCCCTCTGTACTAATTAGTTCTAGGGAGATTGTGGTCCTTGGAAGTCATGGGGACCCTGTGCTGCCTCCACTACTCCTGGAACAGAAAGCTGGGTCTTTATTCTTTACTATGGACTAGGGAGCCAGAGGCTGGACACACAGGACATTTAATTTGGGTAAAAGTACAGTTTGTTGAATATCTTAGTCCACTCAGGCACCCATAACAAAATACTACAGACTGAGCAGCTTCATTCAACATAGAAATTTTTTTTTCCCACAGTTCTAGAGGTTGGAAGCCCAAGATCAAGGTGGTTGTCAGTTCTGTTTCTGGTTTTCAGACAGTGTTGCTTTCTCCCTGTGTGCTCCCATGGCCTTTCCTTGGTTTGTGAGGGCAGAAAGAGAGTTATTCTCTGGAGCTTCTTTTGAGAACATTAATCCTGTCACATAAGGGTCTTACCCTCACAACCTCACCTAACCCAAGGCCCTGTCACCTAACCCAGACACTGTCACATTAACTGCTAAGGCTTCATCCTATGAATGGGGGGAGCATGAGCATTCAGTGCAAATGGTGAGTCTTTGCTGACTTGGGTCGTGCGCAAACCACATCACCTGTGTTGCTGAGGAAGTTTTCTGGGATGGAGCCAGTGGCATTGGCTGCACACCAGCCCAATCAGCCATTGGCAGCATCTGTTAGTGATGTCATTCTCTGCGAGTCCCTCCTCTGTGTCTTGGCATCCTCTCAAGAGACTTCCCAAGAGACTGGGAGGTGAGGTTCCAGATGATTCTCTGTGCCTCTGAAGCAGAGACCAGTTTTCTCCCTCCTGCCCCTCCCTCCCCTTTCTTTCTTTCTTTCTTTTCTTTTCTTTCTTTCTTTCTTTCTTTCTTTCTTTCTTTCTTTCTTTCTTTCTTGCTTTCTTGCTTTCTTGCTTTCTTTCTTCCTCCCTCTCCTCTTCTCTCTTTGTCTGTCTGTCTCTCTCTCTGTCTGTCTCTCTCTCTCTCTCTCTCTCTCTCTCCTGCTGGTGTTTAATTTCCACACATCTTCAACAACAACAACAAAACAGTTCAAAACAGCACTTTTTTTAAAATCTTTTTTTGGGGGGGGATCAAACTTGATCCTTGCACTTGTGAGGCAAGTGGCAGAACCACTGAGCTGAATCCCTGGCCCCCAAAACAGCACTTTATAACCCATTACAACCCCACAGCCTGGGCATGTGTGTGTGTGTCAGAAGGGACTGGGGGTTGTGTCCCTATGTCAGCCCCAAACCTCACTCAAGGCTATCTGGCTGTTTACTGATTTCCAGCTAAGCATCAGAGCATAAACTTTGCATTTTAGCTCCATTTCATCTCCCTACCTCTTCTCACACCAAGGCCCAATCAGTTAAAGCAGTAGCAGAACCAACGTGGTATTTATTTTAATATCCTGGTAAAGTTGAGTTTGGGTAAGCACAATGATAGCTAGTTACAGGGACAGAGCACTTTAGGGAACATTACTCATGGTGTCTGAGTGCATTTGTGGGAGCACATAGTAAACTAATTACCATATACAGTGCCCACTCTATCATTACCTCTAATATATGATTTCAAATATAATACAACTTCTGTTTTGTTGCTTTTGCATCACTGTAGACACACTTTGAGGTATTCCTTAGCCTGAACAATTTTACATACAAATATAAAACACAAAGATAAGACATCTTTTTTTTTTTCAATGCCTGGAATCAAACCCTGGGTCTCTAGCATGCTGGGCAAATGCTCCCCTACTGAGCTACCCCTCCAGTCCAGAAATGTATACGGTGAATGAGAATTATACCTGCCTAATAACGTCTTTGGATCATAGCGAATATTCAATGGCTCTTTTTTAGACAAAGCAACTAAATGCACTAACAAGGAATTTTTATCCCAGTCTGACCTATTGCTAATTTGTCTGCTAACCCAGCACAAGACACTACCTACTCTCTTTGAATATTAAAATAAACTAGCAACCACAAAAAATAATTTTTTTACTAGAAGACATGACATCAACCTACTCCAGAGGTTTTCTTAAACAACAACAAAAAAAAAAATCTTGAAAATGTAGAGCCTTTTGTTAAGACAATATATCAGTAAAACAACAGAGATTGGCTTCACTTCCTAAATTAGAGGCAGTCTTGTTCTGTTCTATACAAAAGGATATTTGTATCTTCAATCCTACTTCTTCATGAAATGAACTTTAAAATATAGATATACAAAACACTGC